ATCGCCCCCATCAACAATGATTGCTGGTCAGCAACTCTACCCTCCCTCGTTTTTTGATGTTAGGATTACTTACGCTTATTTTTCGGATACTCATCATACCTCACACGATGCTCTGTGTTTCACATCCTGTTGGAAAACAGTGTTTCCACAAGTGCCATTTTACATGCTCATCAGGCAGTTACAAATTATAGACAGTGGCTAAGGCATTGATGCAATGCTTTATTTAACTATAATACGAAGTATGGGTTTCCAATCAAAGTACAGGCAGTAACAAGGGTAAAACGCTGGGTAGTTGTTTACCGAAGTAGGTAGAAGTGTATAGAAATATATGAGTTATGGGTAAGGTAACGAGTGGTGAAATAAAATTAATGGTAAGTCAATATAGTGTACAGGAGAGTAGAAAGCTGATGAGAAATAGACAAGGAAACCACAATAACTTGGTGCTGATATTATTTAGTGCTACTCCAACAAGTCGATGGGTAACAGGCTCCATAGAAGCAGGGCCACTGGTAGTAGGCAGTCAATTGTGAGGTTCTTTTGAGTTTTTTTAGGCTAGAAGTGGGCGTCCCGCCGTTACATTAACTCATATTTCAAGTAGCATGAGGATTTGTCTCATATTGATATCTACGAACGGGATGACTCTTCAAAGTGAGATTACTTTTTAGAATCACATGATTACTTTAAATAATTCTCGTAAATGACTGACCACCAATTAGCAAAAACGAGATGAGCCGTGTTGTCTGACATTTAGAAATCAGTGGGTGTTTTCTACATTGACTTCTTTAAAACCTCTCAGGAACTAGGCCTCTTTATTTTGTCTTTCTTGAAATCAGAGTGTGATCTGGTTTTGATGCATAGAAAACTAAAAAGTGACATTCCACTTGGTATATTTGTGGGATTGTGGTTTAGTTTGTTATCAGAACTGTTACAACAGTCGACCTAATCCTAAAATTGTAGATTTGTCTGATGTGAAAATCTAATCTATGGGATCTTACATCACATGATTGTCAATTCCGAACCTCCATAACGTGACAATCAGCAATGTAATGTTTAGTGTTTCTAAAGAATACATTTTTGCCGGAGATAGAAAAAAAGAATATTTAAGGTGGATAAAAGAGATAAGTTGCAGAAGAATAAACACGCTCTCAAGATTAAGCCATCTGATTGAAACTCGAAATGTTTACACGTTCACCATTGTTGATCTTCTCTTCATGTTAATCGTTAAATATAAAACATTTCAGTAATTACATGCTCGGCTCAAAGATTATGTGGTTAGAAACCAATGCAACTACAAATTTTAGAATTATCTTGACGCTTAATGAGCGCAGCGATCGAACTACCAATATTCGGTTGGAACAACGGACTGAAGAACCCAAAATTTATTCGATTAGACCAGACCACGTTCCTCTGTATAGCTTACAACGCGTTTTTGAGATGTTCATATTATATTATATCAAAACACAAACTCTGTGCTCAATATAAACGGTTCTAATTTAGAAAACAGAACAAATTAAATCAAAAATACAAAATACCTCAAACGGTTCAGCCTGTGCTATACAGTCAGAAGTTTCTCTAACGCAAAGTAGCGCGCTAAACAATAAAAGAAACAGTTAATACCAAAGGGTTCGATCCCAATAAGATGGGATCAAATATCTATCTGCAGGGATTCCAGCAATCCTCCCAAGCAGACAGTCAGAAGGTTAACAGACACACACTGAAACACGCCGTGACCTTGAGCTTAGTCAAACACGACCCTACTGTCAATAGTCCGGCAACATGCAAAAGAAAATTAGGTAACAAAAGATAAGTCTTTAATCAAAACCACATAATAAAGGCTCAAACGAGGAAGACTGAAGCACAAAGGATGTGGTTAAACGAGATCCGAACAAAGGTTAAAATACACGACAGGGGGAAGAAACAGATAAATGGCAGTACTGTACAACAAAAAAGCTGCGGAGGGATTTTGATCGTTCTCCTTCCATTTTAATGAGGATAAAAGAACAAAATTGCGTGCAAGTTTCGGATGGAAGAACGAAGAAAATACCACTTGCATGCCGATTTGCGGTAGTGTAAATGAAATATGACTGGTCATCGCTGGTGAACAAACAGGCTTTCAGCCTGCAGTTCATTAAACACGTAATTTCCTCTTCTCTCATTTGTTTCTACTCCATACTTACTGAGCGTGGCTGCTTGTAAATGTGTTGAATAAAATATTATCTAGTGTTATCTGATTCTCTATTTTGATTCGTGAATCTTGCATCTAATCAACAAGATTTGTCTCATCATCGCATTAACGTTTTATCGTAGTATAACTGAGAGAAAAAATATCAAGCCATTCGTTATTTCATATTGGAGACGAAGCATTATACTATGTATTCAGATATTTCCATCAGTCCAGAATACTTTTTGACTTTTAAAATTGGAAATGCAACCAGTTTGCTGTAAAATATGGAAAGGGAGGATAAAAGGATAGATCTGGGAAAATACACCACAAACAGTAGTAGTGTAATTGTTCCGAGAACATCTCAAGCTTTTCAGAGTCTGTGGTTTAACTCTGGTTATCGGTTACCAATGAAGTTTCGTTTGGTTATTAACTATCAGGGATTGGGTTGTTGTCATAGGGATTTTGCGTCTTGACGGTAACGCCTGGCAGTGATTTTCGTCTGCAATTACCGGGCGGAGGTTAATTACCACTACCCATTTTGGTGATCATGCCTAAAGAGGATGCCAATGGGTTGTTATGTGACACATAATCCTTGAGTCTACCGTATGATTGGATTCATTACTGGTCAATCTTATCCATTCAGGATGCGATGTGTAAAATCTCTGGTTACGCATTGCACGGGATGCTTAGCCTATCTGTTGTAAGTGTGGACTGACAGTATGTTTGGCCGTGATCGAGCGTGACGTACATCCAAAAAGGGAAGTTCCACAGACAGATAATTTGGTACCAGAATGGGGGTTTGAGGAGATTGTGGTAATTTGATAGTCGAATTTATGAGTCGATTTAAGCTAAACCACCATTGAAAGCCTGCAGGCACTAGATACGCATTGCTGAAAAGTTCCATACTACGGCGTTCAGTGCTTCCAGCTTTTTAATAATGGTCTAGCTTAAATCGACTAGTGAATTCAACCATAAGATAATTTAGTATTTCGGTCTAATAACTTCCATTTTCCCGAGTTCATGAAAAAGATTGAGGTTTTCAAAGGTTTATCCCAGTGATTGGCACAGAAACATCTGCAACCGTAAAAATCCGGTGAATGGTTTTGCAAAAACCCACATTAAGATAGTGATCTATCTTACCGTATGTCGTGTTCGGTTCTTCACTTGTTGCCTGTAAACTGGTGAGCAGTTCTTACAGGCGGTGGTTAGTGTTCGCGAGAAGAACGCTTACTTCTGTGCCAGCGCATGTAATAGAACTAATCTCTGTCAACAAACTACTCATATATAAATGAGGTCTTTGCCCACTGGCTACGGTCACCAATAACAAATGGCGACGTGGAAGATTCCTGAAAGATTTATCGTGACGGAAAGTTCGGAGCTAAGAAAACTGCGATGTTTCCTGGAGTTTACAGAAGACTAACTATGCTTGACGTGGTACCAACGTCAATTAAATTTATCCGTTCCTCGTGTTTTAAGAGCCGATTTTTTTCGTGACAGTCTTCTCAATGAAGATATGGTGCATCTGTGATTATGATGAATATTAAAAAAGGAGTGTGAATCTGACAGAAATATGTGACTTCATTTTGTGTAGTTGGAAGCTTTCCTTTGACAGACCAAACAAGGTGCTTGAGTTCCCGGTGATCTCATGAATCCGGTAGGCAAATGCATCTAGGTCGTCCGCCGCGCTATTTCGGAATGGAACTAGAGCGGCTTGCACCTGACGAGGAAGTCTGGATAGAAAGGCCTTGATCAAAGTTTTTTTGTCTAGCTACCTTCCGTATTCGGAGCAATAATTCTGCTGCTGAACAGCACTGCAATTCGATATTGCTGAAAAGTCGATATGGTGTTTTGCAATCGGTTAGTTTTCTTTGTTTAAGGACGACCTTAAGGTTCTGAAACATCGCCAGCAAACACACATGTTGTAATCGCATCGTACTGCCTTCGTTACACTTGGGAAATTTGCACGTGGATCTGTTCGGCTGGGCTCAGAAAGTTAGTTTCTGAGAAGCAGGACCAGACCTCAATATTCTTGGGCCATAACACCATGAAGTGCAAGATGGGAGGCGTGATTCTTAAATCTTAATAATTTAGATATGTTTTATGACATGATAAAAGAGAATATATAAACATGCAAAAAATGCTCGAAATACTAAATCAATGTCACAAAGATTAAGTATATGTGTATAAATTGTTATGAGGAAAAGACTCATAGTTTATCGGCTGGAGTAGCACGGCACGTCCGGTCCACCACTAAAAACGTCACCGATATTAGAGATTTGGCAGCGCTTTTTTCCGTAACACCTTTGTAGTCGAAAGATCTTAAACATAAAAATGACACAAGTATTCAGAGTTTGACAACACCCTGACAAGTAACAATTTTTATGACCAAAACGTGCCTACCCGGTGAAACCGGATGTTATAAGCAAGAATAACCGAAGATGAATTTGACAGAATATCGATATATCGAGAAATGCTTAATCCAAGCTGGCCAACGATTAAGTGCGATGTGAAGCACGGCGTACACACTCGCTATCTGGTGCGGATGCGTGACCGAGCACCTTCAGCCTTGGAGTGTCCAGTTGAACTAGTGAGGTTAGTATTATTATTAAAGACTCATAGGTATCATTACCAAGGTTTGACTTGATAATTTCGAATAAATTGAGCATTGGTTAGATTGGTAAATAAATAATATATTTGTAATATCCTATGAGGTATCGGTGATAAACTGGTGCTAAATCTCGTTGAGCACAAATATTATCTAATCTGTCCAAAGAAACCTCAAGGACTGAGTCAGGTAAATGGCTTTAATGCATTTATTACCAAAGATTGAGCATCGACGGTTTTTAGCGCGGACGGTTTGTAGTCTCTGTTACTGTGATATCGTGTAGACTTTATTCGATGGCTCTCTTCACTCCTACGAACCAAAAACGGTTGACTAACATATCTGTAGTTCGCCTTAAAAAAGGTGGTAATCGTTACGAGTTGGCATGTTACCCAAACAAAGTGCAAGCTTGGCGAGACAAGCTGTACGTTATGAACTATCAAATTACGCTACAGTGAAACAAATTTAGATGAAGTTTTACAGGCTCATTGTGTCTTCACGAATGTCTCAAAAGGTCAGTTCGCTAACAAAAAGGAAATGTATGTACATTTCCGCACAGAAGATGAAAGACAAATAATAAAGACAGTAGGCTATCGTTATAATATCCCAAGTTTTCAGATACTAGAACATGGAGAATTACAACTCACAGAAAAGGAACGCCTTGTAGGACAACAGGCTTTGTTTAGAGATGTGGCTAAAATAGTGTCTGAAAGGTGCGTAAACCCTGAAAACAACCGGGCGTACACTGTCACGATGATAGAGAAGATGATGAAAGATTGTCACATATCCCTGAAGGCTAATAAAAGTGCTAAACAGCATGTAAGTTGAGTAGCAATTCGAGTCGCTCCAGGCTTTAGAGGTAATTAAACAATTACGGTCGGCTCCTGGATTTAAAATTGCTCCTTCAATGATGGAAGTAAATATTACCATACAGAAAGACTCATGTGAACCTGTTATCGAGAGACTTTTGCAACTATGCAATGATATCATACAGCAAAGTGAATCACCCGAAGGACTTTACGACTTGGTTAGTTTGGATTTATCATCTCCGATAAACTTTATCACCTAATCTGATGTCATCCGTCTTTTTTATGACATTGAACTTCTACTTTTATATATCTATGAACTTTCCTATACTTTTTTGTGAGTAGTCGAATTCCTAAGCTTCCTGACGACTGATATTATCCAAACAGCCTCCTAGGAGTCATTCAAGAAGAGACTTGACGTGTTCTTAAAGGCTCAAGACAATATCCCACTGTAGTATATCAGCATTTCTCTTTGGGTCGTCGGGTTCTGGTCTGGATGAATCGGTGATGCACTGCTACTAAATGAGGAATCCTGTTAAAAGGAGAATTCTATTCCATCTACCACCATTTGAACCACTATTATTTAGAAGTAACACCACTAGTTTGGTATAGAGGCGTTATGTTCCCTAAACTGGAGAGTGAACAAAACCCAAGCAGCTTATTTGGCATCATCATGATGGTTAATCGGTCGCTTCATATTGACGTAAAAGTTTACTGTTTCATTCACAAATTTGGTATTTCTTTCCGTCTGCTTCAAAACCAGCATTAGCTAAATGTATACGTTGACAAAAGTGATGGCTGTCTCAGTACACTTGAAGTTAATTCATACAGTGTGGAGCTGATACATCGTTAAGTATATCACAGAATTGCAATTTCTGACCGAATTCAGTCAGATGTGTTTTGAAATACACAGTCATCCTCCCAAGCCAACGTATCAATCGATACCATTTCCAAGGTCCTTTAGTTTCAGAAATGGGAAATTGTATATCCCGCTTGGTTTTGACGGTATTTTGGCACATTTTATCTACAAACATGTCTCTCCATCCTTGTGGAGTTTTTTCTTTACCTTTTGCTTTGACATCATACTTCACCTCATCCCCAACTGGTGCCTAAAATTAATGCTATTTCAACGTCCAAGTCATGCTTCACATAATACAGTATATTTTTTTGACTATGACTGGAATCCTACACTATAGGACTATCTCGTGTCATCGAGGCTGCCGTACAAAATTTAAGAGTGATTATTCGCTTGACTTCGCTCAACCTAGAGGAACGTGTAGGGTTTTTGATCGAAGAATCAATACATGCAGGAGGTTTGCATGAATTCACCAAATTCCGATACGTTTGACTCGTGCAATACGTCTACTTGCTTGTCGAAAATACAGTATACTGTGCAGTAGTCTCGTGTATTATCTTATAGCTGCATAATAGCCTTTTTCATTGCGTCTGTACAAGCCGGGGGTAATATATGCTAAGTGCATTGTTAAAATGTGCCTCCTGAGTGAGTAATGCTAAAGTTATCGATGTACTAGATAAACTTAATTTATTGGTTAGTCATACTGTAGAGTTTTTCGGGACATTTCACATATGTCTTGTTATTACGTGTCCCAACATGTAAAAATGTTAATGTTGTGGTAAAATAGAACAAGAAACCTAAGATGGTCAGGTCGAGTTTGCTTTAATACTACAAATCATTGTGTGTGGAACTGCATCATGTTATAAGTTTGAATCGCTTGGTTGGAGTTTGCGAGACAATCCTAATCTGTGCCTCAGGACTGCTGACAACATTTCGGAATGCATTCACTTTTTAGCCCTCTATAAGTTTTGATATTAGTTGATATTTTTATTTACCAAATTAACACAATTTTGAATTCATCTACATTTTTAGTTTTCACTAACACTGATAGTTTTCTGTCGATCCTTCGGTGTACTGATGAAAAGTTTGGCAACTTGGACTAACGCATATTTATTTCAGGTCCTGGGTTGTTTATGATTTAGACTACATTACATCTATTTTCGCGAACATTCGTTAAATCTTAGAGGCTAAATCAAACTCGAATTCCCATACTGTTAGAATGTTAGTTTATTTAGTGTGTTTTATTTTGTCGTATTCAAGAAAGCTTCATGTTTTACTTTTAAGACCGCTGTTGTTGAACCTGAGAAATATGGCTCTATTGAAACACTTCTTCACAACGAAATAAAGGGTAAATATTCCATAGAAATTTCCGATGGTACGAAGTGTAGTCACAAAGGACTCACAAATTTAAACTCTGCTATAACAGTAAAAACAGAAGTTGGGGAAAGAAAAGTTGTGAAAAATGTTCCAGATAAAAATGTTTCATCGCAGTTGAATGACAATAGGATTACTCAGTCATCTGAAGCCTCAGTTTCTGTCGAAAAGAAAGGCAAAAATACGTCCAAGAGAAAGAATAAAAAAGGTTCCAAACGTAATGATGATTGGTCTGATGACTAATCTAGCTGATTGTTGTGATGTTAACTTAGTCTTCAACCAGTCGGATTTATAGTGATTTGTTTTCTTCTCTACCCTTAATGTGTATCATAAATTAATAAAGTCAATTTTTTATGCTCTGACTTCCCAATTTAAATATCTGACTTCAGCGCCTTTCAGTTTACTATCAGTCTACAAAACCTCATTATTAGTGAGATACACTGGACTTCGTATATCTCATTTGATATCGATTATCTAAATGCTAGGGCTTGTTTTTCTGTCACCATGCAACCGGACTCATCGATATCTACATGCTTAAACGCTAACCGAAAAACATATGAATTGAGAGCTAGCGTGTTTTGGTAGCTTTGCATTCGTTTGTCATTGTAATGCGATAAACCATGTTTGTAGGAGCTTTTAACCACTTAAATAACCAGACTTTGTAATTAAAAAAGGATATTCAAACCAGTTATTCATAGACCTGCAAGCAAAGTTAAGCTGTCTTCTTGCCATCCTTAATAATACAGTTAACGTCAGTAATGTCAAGCTTGGTTCACTGTTCGTGAGAACAGTTCTCTAGTACATAAGGAAAGTCTGTTTTAGAATGATCACGAACTGAACGAATATGCGTTCTTACCTACAAAAGCTGCTTTCTAGGTCAGCCCTAGAGGTCAAATCCTTTTCCATTTCTAGTGATAATTTTAGATGCTTATGTAAATAGTTCTCTGGACATCCTAGTGGATTTTTAGATCGGTAAATCTTGTTGATGTGTCATGGAATTTCGATTTCACAGATTCGTTTATTTTTACCTAAAGAAATAAGTCATGTTTATCTTAGGAATCGCTCAGTTATAAATGACGAAACTGAAGATATCTTCAGACATGCTATGTTTATCATTTCTAGTAGCTAGTTATTCATGCGCTCAGACAAACTCCTTGAAAGCTTCTAATATGTCACATGACAGCCCATCGGACTGTCTGTCATAGTACATCAAAAAGTCATTATTTCATGTCTAATTGGCTCAAATGCATAGCTTATCAATTATATAGAAAGAACATACATTTTAGCTGTTGGAGGACAGAGAGCAATCATTCATTTTGATGAAACTATGCTGAATTGACAGCCTTAAGCGTTCAGTCAAAATTAAGCTAACCGATGCGTGAATCCTAAACGCTGTTGAAGATACCTCGTAGCTGTTTCACGATTTTGATTACAATGAGTATTTAGAGAATATTGGACGACGGTTTTCTCATGAAATAAAGTGTTAGAGTTAATACGTAAGGGTTCAGAGTTGGGATATGGGGTCTTAAGTTTATGAATTAGAGTCGAGGTTTTTGGGGTTAACACTTCCAATTTTGGGTAAACTCCCGAAGTCAAATGACTGTCAACAATGTTTGGGGAATTCTAGGGATATCCCCGAAATATACTATAGCGGCTTCCCCAGAATGTGCGGAACTTTCCTCAAAATTGGGAGTTTGGGTTGAGTTCTAAGAGATGTTGGACTACAGATTGTGAACTTGCTTGATTACAAGACAGTGATCTAAGGTCTAAGCTATCAAAATTTAGCACTATGAAGTTCAATATCGGTGTGTGGTTTTACTAATTGTCTGCACTGAGAAGCCCACGAGGACAGTCGGTACTGTGATTGGTCACTTTTAACTGACGCCAAGGTCACCCTTGAAATACCTCAGGGTCACGACTATGATTTGGTTTCTTGTTCACTTCCTGTATCCAAATTAGCTGAGTCCACTCAAGGTCGTCTTAGCACTAGATCATGTTGAAGTACTGTGACCTGCTGATCATGATCAGAACTGCAGTTCTGTGAACAAGGATTTATTGTTTTAACCTTTTGTGACGATTACAATAAGTAAGGAATTTCCCCGACAAACTAAAAAAATATGAGGTTTTATCAGTGTTTACCCGAGCTCTCACTTTTGGGGGAACTTTGGCACATTTTGGGGAAATGACACAAAAACCCTGAAATTTCCCCAAACTTTGGGGAAGGCTATTTCAGTTTGGAGATTTCCACAAAGTTGGGAACTTGGGTAGTAATAAGGATAGTAGGTTGGTGAACCAGTGTTAATCTAAGAACACAAATGGATTTCTTCCAAGTTTTTGAAATTTCTGCGGATATATTTAGAACCCAAAATCGAGAGATCGAAGTTAACCTCGCTATTACATGTTGTTCTACGGGACTTTTATTGTGATCTGTTCAACTCCTATAATAACTTCAATGATCGGTGGGCAGACATTGCAGACTGTTCGTTACTTCCCATTTGCACCTGGGTTTTAGAAAGAAGATTATTGCTCGGCCACTGTATTATAAAAATATCTCACTGTATCTGAGTGGCTTTCCACAGTTAATCTCAACCAACCGGGATCTCACATGGTAGCAAGACCCAGTTATTAGGTCGTGAAACGTTCAATCTAGGTGATTTGATTAGTTACATTCTCACTTTCCAGTTTATTTGTATCCCTTAGTCTTCCCTATCATTTCAGATAGTTGTTTGCATGTATTTATTTAATTTAGAAGTTCCTGTTCGTTTATCTGACTGACAACTTGAAGATTTTATGCTTGTCCAATGTTTATGAAGCATGAATATATATTATTATGACTTTTCTTGATTCACCCTTCCTATCAATATAAGTGGACTCCTTACTAATGTTAAATTATTTAGATGGTTGTGGACAGAGTAGAAAATATTTTTTTCCAAACACGCTTTTTTATCTAGTAGCAATGGGTCAGCGGTGCTCCAGATAGAGATTTAGGTACTGTAAACAAACAGTAGAGAAGTAATATTGAATTAGTGTTATATGCTATCATGGGACCTTGAAAATATATCAAGTTTCATCTTGAATGTCTCCTGGAAAGTCGTTCGAACTACCTCAGTCGGTAGCGAATTCCAGGACTTGACTAATCATAAGGTATGTCGACAATCCATCTTTCTATATTGTACCTACAATTTCTGGGTATTAATCCTGAGGTTTGTGTCGGGACTGGACCTAAATAGGTATCTTTAAGAGTGTCTAAGTGTTCAGGATGCTACAAGTCATTAAAAGATCACCTCGTAGTTGCCAATATGTAGGTTGGTAACGATCTTTTTCGACCTGAAGGAATTAGAGGTCATTGTCTAGGTTGTATTGTTAGTCTTTCTTAAGTTCCAGCTTATAATCCCGGTTATAAACGTCTCCCCAAAGCTTATCATAGTAAGCGAAAAGGAGTATTTCGGATGATACTTGCAGAGGAAGGTCATTCTTACAAGTTTGAAAGGAAAGAGGTCCTAGTACCGAATCCTGAGGGGCTTCATCAAGACGTTCTGAGGCCAGAGAAAAGTTAAACTTTATCCTGAGCTTGAAAATTCGACTTTGTGAATATGAGTTATATCAGTCTATCTGTGGTGGTGTTCTCTCACGAAATCGTATTGTTGGAGTATAAAATGTTCTCCAAAGTTGGAAAATGAAGGCCTTTAAAATGCTATATTATCTATGCTTCTGTTCTATACCTTTTTATTTGATTTGTTGCTGCTAAATTACTCAAAGCATGTAGTTTCATTGCCAACACGGGATTTGTAGAGTAAGACAGTCAGGTGATTTTGGGTTCAGAGAAGCTATTGTCATTGTTTACGTTCAGAAATTCCAATTAACAAAAAAGTATGAGAAAGTTTCGTTGCGCTACTCTGGTGCTTTTTTTTAACAATCTCACTTAACCTATTTTCTATGTTGTTTAATAAACGGACCACTATAGGAATTCTCGAACTACCTAAAACGACTTTCGTTCTGGCGGATGTGTTTTTCCTGTCTTGATCTTGATCTCGTCAGTGTTGTTAAACGAGTTATTGTTGTATCATTTTGTACATATTCTGTGAACGTCTTTAAAATTCAACGTAGTACCCACAGTATCGATCACGGGTATTTCAGAATACTAGAAATAAAATAAAGACACCCAGAATATATCTCATTAATCTTTTTAGTTACTCAGTATACTTTAAGTCTTTTAATGGGCCTCCGTGGTTCAGCTTGCTCAAGATCTCACCTATGGGCCTGCAAAAGAAATAATCTGCAGACCACTACAAGGATCTAGTTATGAAATTTACACTGAAGTTAGTTTATCAGAATCACCGAGTAATCAGCCTAAAGATTTGAATCAAGTATGACGAATCGTAAATCATTTTGGCTAGAAACAATACAAAACCTTGTCCATATTTTTAACTTGTGGTGACAAACTGTATAGAATCAAATGAAATAGGTGCGAATATATAGCTCAAATAGTAGTGCATTCAGGTGTATTATTATGTGAAGATATTTCGGATTGAGATTAAATTCCAGCTATTTTGTCATGGCTCTTCAATACTCAGTAACCATCTTCCGAATTCCAGCTAGATCATCAGTAGTTTGGTCTATCACAAACCAGCGGATAGTTCATGGATCGATGGCGTGTTTTAGTTTGATGTTGGATTTTGCGTTTAACGGTAGTAAGCATGAAACCTCGAAGTGGGTATTGTTTTAAACTTTTTAAGATTTATTTCAATCTTTTTGAGTTAATGCTCATTACCCTGTTGCTTACGTTTACTCAAAATAATACATGGCCATTTCTTCATAGCACTATTTATTTATTATTTTTCTTCACATAAGTGCTTTTTGTACGCAAGCGTGTCATCTGTTATAGTTCTTTTGAAACTTTTACTGTTTTAGGTATAATTACAACATGAGTTTACTAAAAAATGTTCATCATGTTCGATTCGCTACTAAAAGTTTATGGCAGACTTGTAAAACACTAATAAAAGGTTTCGGTTTCACGCTCCACTGTTTGTTCAAATGCGGTTCAGAAATAAATCTAGTGCTAAAAAGTAATCAATCGGTAATAATGCTTAGCGAAATCAAAACATTGTCCAGTGTTCATCACCCATTTAAGTACCATTCAGAAATCAGTAACTGGTGTACAAAACGTGATGGACCATGTGACATTGCTTTAGAAGTAGTTGACGTGTATGAAGTTTGTGAAAGGGTTTCCCGGTTTTCTGGGTTTGAGAACATTCTTTTGGAACCTACTACTTATGCTGATTATAATGGAAAAATTGTTTTAGGAGTAATCAAGTCATGTGTTGGGGATTTGCTTCATACGATTGTTGACTCGTCACAGTATAAAGGCTTGTTTTTGCCTGGATACACATCGGGACAGAGTGCAAATGATGACTTAAAGGAAGCACTAAATAACAATGGATCGAATCCCAATTCTTTTGTGAAATATACTGATCATATAGCAATCGCTGGGGATATTGGAGATTCAGACACTTTTATAAATTGGTACAAAACAGTATTTGGAATGAAACGCATATTCATTAATATGTGAGTTGCTTAATAGTTTATGATCATTTATGGATGCTAAAACAGACAGGAAGATGAATCCCAAGGGTTTATAGTAAAGTTCAAAAATACTGGAATGATGTTGAAGGCAGTTTGTCATACAGATCCAACTTCGAATTCTGATTATCGTGATGCATGCAAATTTGTCTTTGTTGAGCCCACGAAAGATTCAGGTATGTTGCGTAAATGCATTAAGCTTCATTGTTGGTTGGTTTTTCAATTATAGATATTTTTTGCATATTAATATATATTCACAAGAGATAAGTTTTATCATGTCACGTGATTTATCCACCAATCAGAATACGACTTATGCAATCTTAGCACTGTGCCAAACTAATGACGATCGACCGGTATAAGCGCCCTAGCGTCCTTATCGGTCCTATGTCCGCCTAGCCTGTCCACTTGAGTCCAGAACACCAATACCAGCTTCCAATATGTTAATCGAATCGAATCATTTATTTCAGAAATACTGGGTTTATATATCAGCCAAACAGACCGCGGCGCATCATAAAATAGAAAATAACATTTGTACACAATAAAGCCCAAAGTGGCTGTGAACGTGGGAGACAGTAGTCAATAAACTGAGCATAGCTTACGAACAGTAAATCATACAATGATAAATTATAGGTCAAAATGAAGCTTATTATAAGAGAAATATAAATATACATAATCCAATTATTGAATAGTTATACCATAAGAATATATAGATAATATTAGTCAATTAATATGTCTCAGAAGTTACTCGTGATTTGATCTTCGCTCGGATATAACAAGTTTGGTAGTGATAAAATGACTATTAAAGAATCAACAAAAACTGTCCGTTTGTTTGGTATTAGTTTTAGCGACAAAAAAGGGTGTTTAGTGGTTGTTACTGTCATGCTACCCACATTGTATTTAATTTTAACCTATTTATCTTTAATATTCGACAATATTCCCAGAAAACGTGTCCCGACCGTTGTTGCTACCTTGACGTGGTGGTCGGACTTGCCTATCGTGATGAAGCGACCGAGCTATACTGGCTGGAACAACCGTTCCTCAAGGTCCTACCAAGTCAGACAGGTCGGTTGAAGAGCGGTAAGACTAAAAGCAACAAACCCAAGGTCCGAAAGCGAAGTCGTACTGCTGACTGTACAGAGGTGTGACGGCAGTATGGTGTTTCCTTCAGACAACCAGCATGACAGCGATGCTGCCTTCCCACAAGGAGGGGTGGGGTTAGAAAAGGTCGACCCTAAGAGTGCACACCTCACCTTACCTCACAGATTTCCGTCTCCGGTGGTAAGGCCCTTTGAAGAACAGAGCACGGATTCGAAAAGCTCGTTTGGCTTTTGCCAACTTACGTCACCTGTGGCGAAGGCGAGATATCCGTCTATCAATAAAAGGACGAGTATACTGCACGGCAGTCCGTTCTGTTTTAATTTACGGCAGCGAAACATGGGCATTAAGAGTAGAAGACACTCGTAAGCTACTAGTATCTGACCACAGATGCCTTAGAAATATTGCTGGCGTCTTCTGGGATCACCGGGTAAGTAATAGTGAGGTTAGACGCAGGGTATTAGGGAATGATGGTAAATCAGTTGATGAGGTTGTGAATCTTCATCAATTGAGATGGTTGGGCCACGTGTTACGTATGCCTGAACACCGATTACCACGTTGTGCAATGCTAACGGGTGTTAGAGATGGTTGGAAGAAAGTTAGGGGCAGCCAAACCAAAACGTGGCATCAGTGCTTGAAGACACTAATTTCTAGTCTGAGCCATGTTGGTTGGGGTCCGCGTGACTTTCGTAACCGTTGGTTGGAGACTATTGGTGACATGGCTCAGAATCGATCACAATGGCGTCGGTGTATACACTCCCTGTCTTCCCTTAAACTAAGAGATTAAAATCGCTTCATACCTTTCTTTCTACGAACCAATTTTTTCTTATTGTACTATATCTCTATATGCAATCTTTCTCTTATATATTACCACCTTTGACATAACCACTGCTATGAATCCGGTGTTCATCTTGTTGTGCTGATGCGGTATGGCAACCTGGACCGATGTACATATGGGCCTGGTCCTATGTTGTAGCTGACTGACCAGAAAACGTGTAAATGAGATCAAGCAACATATTCTTAAAGATATTGTGTTGATATATTCGTCTTACCACTAAACTAAATTTACCGGAGCACACAAAACATTGGTGGAGGTAGGTAGAATATGTAGCTCTCTAAATATTTAAGTGGTACTATTCGTAACCGATTGCAACAAAGTTAATGTTTTCATACTTTATCGGGCGCTTTAAGTATAGAATTTTCATTCTGTACATCCACTTGTGCTTTTTAAATATATTTTTGCCTGTTTTTACATAACAGCTTTAGGATATTGATAGAAAAATTAGTTTTTTCCTGTTCATTAGATATGTTTGTATTATAAAATCAGTACTTTGTAACCCATGACCAATCAACTGTATATTTCAGTATGATAGTTTACTTAATTTTGTTAAAGTCCGTAGATTGTACAAATGGATTGGTTAGATTTCTGAAATTTAAGACAACACTTCAACAATGATAATCTATGTGTGAATAGGTGGAAGAGAAAAAAAGGACTTTCATGAGAGTTTTTATGTCTCAAGGGAAGACATGAGTAAACACCGCAGTATTTATGGCATTGTACAGGGGAAATTAATAAACAAAAATAGACTTGGACGAAGTAAAGTTGCAACATTACAAAGACTAAGGTGTAAAAGCTTACAATAACTATGGTTTTGGTAGCAACAACAACTGGTCTCGATATAATACTGTTTTTGGTCAACCGTAATAAATCATTTTATGGTTACTATGAAGTAATATTTAAAAAACATGTATTTTACAAGACAATGCATAATTCTTAACGGACTCTCATTCATGTATAGGTTCACTTACTTTTTAAGGCTTTTAGCGCTTTAATTTTTATGTCCTGTGTGAAACAACAATTCCCTTCAAATCGAAATTTTTGTCCCTGTAGGTTGTTTGAAAAATACTTTCCCAGTTGCACAAAACACCCAGTTTTTATGTTATAAAACCCTTTTAGTTACTTGTACAATGCTAATTCTACTAGTCTTCAGTATTGGTTAGAATTAACATGTTCATTATAATATTCAGCGATCAAAATGCAGTTCGTACTTTTTTTTCATTCGATTAACGTGAAATATGTTTATTTACATATATCAAAATTTACTAACTGACTGGGATAGGATTGAATTAAGAAGTCCTATGAACGGATTAAGTGAAACCTAGCATCAGTTCATAAAGTCATCTGCTGTTGCTGTTGAGTTAAATTTGTAGGTATTTTATTTATTTATTTAAACACATTAACATTGGTACAAGGAGACACCAAATATACGGCTAGGATACTACTCGGGCACCCAAACTGAAACAGGTGGCTTTCTAAGGAGGCCACTACCCCAGCCTTTGACCTAGAGGTCCGATCCTCAAGGTGGCGGAACATTACGAGAAGCAGTCCCATAGTAGCCGGTGTCCAAAAGTAGGTTCATACGCCTTTTGTTCCCTCAGAATCCTGGAGACCATGTTCACCATCGGTTTGGAATCAGGGTTTTCCAGCCTCCTTAGGTAGATCCTTCAAATACACCAACCCGGTTAGAGCGCCGGACGTTAGCCTTTGGTCCTCTCAACTTCGCAAACAACACCGCATCCGCGAGAAGTGAGTGAGTAGGACTTACTCTGCACTGGCTGTACACACGTGGCCATGTGAGAGCATCTCGTGAAGGAGAGCGAACTCTCTCCACCCTCGGCCGTACCATCACATTTGGGGACAGGTCAATCGGTTCATAGTTCTAGCTTAGGAAGAGCTCATTAATTTTAAGCTCTGGCTTAAAATTTTGGATGTTATAACCCAGAATTCGTTGTAGTGGTTCCGTTGCATCCATTTATTTCCTTACTGTGAATTATGATTTTAGTGCCATTTAATTATTCCATTTCATTTGTTCCTTTTGGACTACATTTCTCGTATTTAGTTTCTACTTTAACTGACATTATTAGCTCTACTTATTTACTATCCATCATTTGAATTTGCTTTCACACTATGTTAATGTAAAGTTTGTCGACTTGGGCGTATACACATACGTAGCAGGTCTTATATTGTTTGTTAACAACTCATTAGAAACTACATTAGCATCAATGTTTTCAATTTCAGTGGTATTTTCAAAACGAATTTTAAAGATTGATAAAGATTTAAAAGTTGCACACTTCCGTATTATTTGTTCAACAAAATTTCCTAATAAATAATCTTATTAAAAAGGAAGAATGTATTTGTAAAATCTCAGCGAATGAATTTGAAGTAAATCCGACGTTTCGCCTGGTAATCTTACTCACTTACGCCTGTTACTCCCAATGGAGCATAGGCCGCCGACCAGCATTCTCCAACCCACTCTGTCCTGGGCCTTCTTTTCTAGTTACATCCAATTCTTGTTCATTTTTCTCATGTCTATTTCCATTTCTCGGCGTAATGTGTTCTTTGGTCTTCCTCTTTTGCTTTGGCCTTGAGGATTCCATGTGAGGGCTTGTCTTGTGACGCAGTTGGGGCCTAATAATCTAGTTTAATAATTTTGATGTTTGATTATATTTCCTTGAAAAAGCTTGGACTAGATTACCAAGCGAAATGTTGGATTTAATTCAAATCCATTCGCTGAGATTTTACAAATACATTCTTCCTCTTTAATGTCTCACATCAACTCGGCTCCCAAATACTGTGAAACTATTCAATCAAATTTAGACGAAAGTTCTTATAAATAACCTTACATAAGTGAAGATTCATCTTTTTTACACCTAACTTACTAACTAAAGTTGTTTTTTATTGCTGTAGAACCTAGTCAAGTGACTCGATTTCTACAAGCTAATTCAGGTCCAGGCTTACAACACATGGGACTCGCCATTGATAACATTATAGATGTAGCAGCTACCTGTCATCAAAATGGTATAAAATTTATCACTGCTCCAGACGTCTATTATGAAGCTGTAAGTTGTCTTGGAAAAAAATTCTCAATTCTCATGTTATTAGTCATTTTTAATACGTAGTCCATCAGTAAAATACCTATTGTTAACAGCCAAATAATCAGATATGGACAACAGTTTATAAGATGCGAATTGACCCGATTTCTTACCTGTACATTAATCACTTCGATCAAAATAATTGTAA